CTGCTGGGCTTCATCTATCTGGTTCCAAGATTTACTTATATGTTTCTAATTACTTAGATTGAGTGCAGAGCATTGCAAGTGGTTAAATATTATTATTATTTAGACTATTTTCTTACTTTAACGATTAAATATTATTATTATTATTTAGTCTATTTTCTTACTTTAACTCGGTTGTGAATTTTTTTTTTAATTTTTATGTGAAAAAATAAAATCATTTATTGTCTATATATCTATATAGTTAATCAAAAGTATTAAAATTATTATAACTAAAGTTAAAATTACACGGTCAATTTGCATTAAGGATAATTTATAATAAATATATGTCAAAATTGTTTTATGAGAAAATGTAACTTTTATGCCAATAATTTTATTCTCACTGTAATCCTATGTCATCTTATAATTTGCACTAGTTCACAGTATAATATTCTAATTTTTATACCCTATATTTTAATAATAAAATAAATTCCCCTTTAATGTGATGTCCCATGAGGCTAATAGACTATTAAGAAAAGATCATATGTAAATAACCGTGGATCTTAATTATGGTAATATTTCCAAGATGATATATTTATATTCTATCTGTTTATGTTTTGGATTGTCAAAGTTAGTAAGTTATGAAATGACTAATTGATATATTTCATGTTAGCATGTATCCCTTTCGTAGTATAGTGGTTTTTTTATTTTTGAGACATAAAATTATTTTACAGCTAACCTTGACTATTTCACATAATTGGAGATATGCTCATATCTTAGCTTGATCGAACTCTATGACGAGGGACTCAACGGTCTTCCCTACAGTAACCTCGTCAAATTGCACCACCACCATCTCGTCTAAAAGAATGGTCTCTCCCACTGTGGTTGCCATCTTCTGAATGTCGTAAAGTTGACTTCAAATTTGTATTATTTGAATTGTTTGTTATAAATTGAAAATCACTTTTACACAAAAGCAGAGAGAATTAGTTTGATCTTTCCTTGTTTAACGTGGGTTCTTTTGGGGCGATAGGATGTTTTCCTCAATGCTCGTGTCGAGTTTGCTTCCCGTTGACAAATCGAATGAGGTCACGAACAAAATTCAACGCGTGGTAGTAGCTTGTTCGAATAAGTTCGAAATCCCGAGCTTAGATTCGAAGGCCGAATGCACAAGATGCAAAAAATTTGGTTCTCTTTATATGTCAAGAAGTACAATCCCCTTCTCTGTAAACGCTCATGACTTTTTATAGAGAAGAACAACTATAACCACCTTCTTAGAACGTGGGAAGTGGGAGTAACCACTCCCACAATTTGAGCTGACTCAGCCAA